AAAAGCATGCCAAAATGTATTTGCAATGGATTTTGTTCTCGCAGTTCAGTAAAGTTATGTAATAGGCATGTCAGTGAATGTAGTAACATGGGAGTCTCAACTTAAATAGTCAGAAATTCCCAGTGAGTCAACAGGACACTGGGTCTTTTCTTGCACAAACACAGCTGTTGTTTTGAGGAAAAAGAATATGATTTACAGAGAATTGGGGGGGAAGTTACACTGTGTCAGTGAAAACTAGTTTGGAGTTGCTTCCTGTGAAATGCATGGTGTGTGTGTCTGTACACGTATATGCGTGTATTTCTCCCTTATTTGCAACACCAGAAATAGAAAAGGATGGTGTTGGAATTTCTCCTTCCTTCCTTTCCAGGTTTCCAATCCCATATACCTGTCATATAAAATACAGAAGCTTTGAGAATGGGAAGTTTGACTCCTGAGTTTGGGGTGACCTCAGAATAACTGAAAGGAAGTGGACGTGGCAAATTGCTCTTTTTTTTTTTTTTTTTTTTGAGTCTCTCTGTGTCGTCCTTGGTAGAGCACCGTGGCATCATAGCTCATGGCAACCTCAAATTCCTGGGCTTAAGTCATTCTCTTCTCTGTAGCTGAGACTACAGGTGCCCGCCACAATGCCCGGCTACTTTTAGAGACAAGATCTTGCTCTGGCTCAGGCTGGTCTTGAACCCATGAGCTCAGGGGATCCACCTGCCTTGGCCTCCCAAGTGCTGGGATTACAGGCATGAAACACCATTCCCAGCTGACGTGGCAGGTTTCTCCTCAGAGCTACGTGTGTCTGCAGAGGCAGGTGTGGCAACCACAGGTGGCTGAGATTGCTAGGGGAGAGCACCCAGAGGACTGAGGAGGCACCTCAGGGTACACCCACTGTGTAGCAGGGGAAGGCCATGCATCCAAGGGGGCTGGGGAGATTGAGAAAAAGGAATCACACAACAGAAACAAAGGGACCCGCTGCCCCATAAAAGAGTAAGAGGCCAACAGTGTCTTGCTGCTGAGGCTGGAGGTGCAGACAGCTGGAACTGGGCATGGGGAGGGCCTCAGGACACCTGAGACACAGTTCCACCAATGCAGTGAAGACAGAAGTGGCATCTGAGGACTGAAGTGACCGACCAGGAGGTGGAATAAATGAGGGTTCACATGCCCATCCCTAGCACAGATCTGACACTGTAATGAAACAGAAGACAGAAGCCCAGTCCAGGCAGAGGTTTCAGACCAGAGGCAACATTTGGACCGGTTTTGAAACCAACCGTGAGGCTAATCAAGGAAAGGAAAACTGTGACTTAAGTTTCTCCAGATGCCAACAGCAGCCCCATAGATGTAATGGACCCTTCGTAGAGTCCTGAGCCCTTCCCTGGCGTCCTTATTCTGGATGCAGTGGACCCTTCGTAGAGTCCTGAGCCCTTCCCCGGCATTCTCGTTCTTCTGTATCTCAGGAGCGGGGCTGGGAGGAGCAGGTGACATGGGCACAGGGCTGGACGCTGGTCCGGCACAGGGGCAAGGGAATGAGGCTCTGAGGATCCCCTGCGTGGTTTCTTTGGTGGGTTCTCAGAAATTGCCTGATCACCAGTGCTATGCCTGAGACAAACACAGCGAGAAGATCACTGAGGGGCGGAGACAGACACTCCAGCTGCCAAGCATCACAGAGAACACAGCATGTGTGGCTGCCTCGGACGTGCTCCTCGTCCTCAGAGCTTAACTCGACTCACCATGTTTGAAACGGTATCCTGACCTCCTTCCTACCACCCTAGTTCTCCAAGCTCAACTAACAACCCTCAGCCAAATTCTCCAGTGGTATTTGCCACAGTCTCTTCCAGTCTTGGAGTTCTTTCTCTGTCCTGTCCTAAACTGTGAGCTTTATGGAGGCATGAACTTTGTCTCCCTCAGAATCTCTGGGCCTGGTACACAGGTTATCAAAGTTTGCAACATCAGGTGCCCACAGAGGAATGGGCTAAGAGGTTTAAGACTCCACCGTTTGGCAGTTTTAGAAGAGCACAGGAATGTCTCCTGTGAATCTGCTGTCCTCTGCAATGACCTGTGTCACTGCAACATAACTCTCCCAGCCTCACTCGTCTGTTTACCCGACATTTTGTGTTAATTCAGAAATTCCCACAGGCAAGCAGTACAGTTGAGTGTCAAGTGTTTTATTCCTTATAGCCCTGATTACATTTTCCCTCAAAAAATAAACATGCCAATATGTTGTTTGTTTTTACACATCCTTCTCTTACAAGTTTTTGTTTCAGAAAAAAGTCTCTCCAACGTGAACTATCTTGTACCCTACTTAGTACATAGAACCGACTGCAATAAATATTTAGAGATACACGTCTAAGTATTTGCTAAGCTGTGTTATTATATTTGCTGTTTATTTTAACTGGATTTGTGTTCTCATGGTTCCAGGAGTCCTTTGAATTTTAATAGCAGCACTGTGTATGTGTGTGTGTGTGTATTCTGGGTAGCTTAAAGAAAAAAAGAATTCCTATTTTAAATGATTTAGTGTCTTAGCTTGGGCTGCCATTACAAGAATATCTTCAGCCACAAATATTTATTTCTCAGGATTCTGAAGGCTGGGAAGTCCAAGGTCAATTCACCAGCAGGTGTGGCATCTGGTGAGGGCTCTCTTCCTGGCTTGCAAAGGGCCGTCTTCTTGTTGCATCTTGTTTCACTTCTTACAAGGCCACTAATCCCATTTATGAGCGTGCTTCCCTCAAGACCTAGTCACCTTCCCAAGGTCCCACTGCTAAGTACCATCGTATTAAGGATTTAGGCTTCAGCCTACGAATTTTAAGAGGATGCAAACATTTAGTCCACAGCACAGAGTTTATTTAGCCAAGAGATAAATTTAAAGGACGAATGCTATTCCTATTCCACCTATGAGTACACATGATTTAATTAAGTATTCAGCATTATTCCTGACAGGAACAGAGGCTGTCTCTCCAGGTGCCCCCATCTCTGCACCCTTTGGGCAGCCACCTGCTCTGACCACTGTGGGGATGGTTTACCTCCAACATACCCCCATTTAGCCTGAAGTCTGCAAAAAGCCAAACAGAAGGACGTAGAGCACCCAGCATGGGTGGGCAGAGAATGTCCAGTGTATTTTATTTCGGGAATATGAAACCTAAAATTGGAAAACTATCAAAGACAACCCATTCACACGCTTTTCTTTTTTAGACAACAGAGGGCATGAAAATTCAGGGACAGGAGCCTGCTCAAGGTTCTGATCCGTCAATTATTATGATTCATTAACATCAGCTATTATCATACGGGGAGATATATCTCCTCTAATTATGATGTACTTCTCAATCCCATTCAATCACTGGGGAACCTCTTCCTTATTTATAAATGCTCAAGGAAAATGAATGATCACCCAGATAGTGAAGCGTGTTGAAGCTGACAGAGGAGGTTTGGCCCAGCCCTACCCCGAGTCTTTTATATAAATGAGGGAGGGGGGAAATGGGTGATTTTCCTGCCTCAGTTTCCCCATCTGGATGAGAAGTCCTCTTTTCCTTTGCATTTATTTTAAAGACCTTGCTATTTACTACACAGCTAAACAGCAGAAAACACTATGTTTTTCTATAAAAGGAAAAGATCTGAAGTGCGGCATTGGTATGAGGTTTTAGGCTCACAGATACTGATCTCCAGATAATCAGAAAATTTAATGGTAAATGCGGTTTGCAAAAAAGAAAAAGATCTCCAGCAAAAGGAGAAAGAAACGTGGCATTTGTCTAACGTAAAACTATAATTTTTAAAATAAAAACTCAGCTTTGATACTTTTATTCTTTTCTGAGTCAGAGCACTAGCTACGGGTATCTGATGGGAGGACTTTTCTCAGCTCTTCTATAAGGCGGCAGCTGTGGAAACTGGTCTTGCCTAGGACGACCCCTCTCTGTGGGCTGAGAGCTGCACCTGTAACAACAGATCCCTGCTCCAAGGCCAGCGGCGACCTGGGGTTCTTGGCCCTGGGCTGGGTGCCCAGCTGCGATCCACACAATGAGAAGGGGCAGGACGCTGTCCAGGCACCGGCCAGCCCTGGCTCACGCTCCTGCTCTGCCGCCAAGCTCTGAAATAAGGGCCGGCAGTCCCTGAACCTCTGGAACGAAAATAGGCAGCTGATCTCCAGAGAATGGGAGTCAAATAAATAGCAGAGGGGACAGACTCTGGACGGGTGGTTCACAAAGTGACCAGGCTCTGAGACGGGACCGCAGGGGCAGCCCCCAGCTCCGACTCATTCTCAAAGCTGCCGGGTCTGACTGGGACATGTGGATGTCATTTTGCTGCCTGAATGTTTCCCCTGGGAAGCTGAACACGATAAACAATTTTCCTAACTTGGATGTCTCTCCAAGCGCTAAGCATGCCTGTCTCTCTCAGGCAGGGCTGCCTGGCGCCTCGCCCAACAGGAGAAGCCACTGGTGAGGCCAGGACTGAATCCTACCCCTTTGCCTGCATCAAAGCGGCCCCTTTCTCTCACCACACTCTTTCATCCTCTGCTGCCTGGCCCAAGTTTCCCCACAGTCACCTGCTTCCTGACCAAGCCCCTCACTCAGCGGCCCTGAGAGGACTGAGCAGAAGGAAAATGAAAAACCTCTGAGTGAGGTAGAGAGGGAGGCTTGGGTGACTGGCCGTGACCTTCACCAATTTGAACCTTTTCTTTAGGGGATCAAGTTTGTGCAAGTTTTGGAACCGAAACCACTATTCTCGCTGATTTCCTGGATTTTGCCCACCTGAGATAAGGGAAGCCTTTTCAACTTTTCTAAGCATGTACCCTCTTCTTGCTCTGGGGACGGACACACCCATCCCAGTACTGTGAACAGGGCATTTTTCACCTCCTGGAGGAGCACAGGCAATAAGGGTCCAGGAATTTGGACAAAGTCTGAAGAGCTCCAAGTAAAAGAATCGTCAGTCCACGGCAAACTCTGCAGCACCAAGTCAAGCCAGCAAAAAGCATCCGCGTGGGTTTTCCTGTTTATTAAAAGCACTTGGCTTATTGGGATAAATTGGAGAATATCTATTAGCAAAGTTGAGTGGTTTACAAAGCCCATTAGAAAGAGATCAATATCCAGAATGTTGATTTTTCTACGTCCAATCAATTGGTTTTTAAATGAAAACTAATTTTTAAGGGCCTGATACCAGAGCAGAAGGAAACTCTCCTTTAAGAAAAGAATCAATCATTTATAGTGATCAAATTTATAACCGGTAGCCTGGCTTCCACGGCAGGTTCCTTTGAGGCAGAGGTTGGCTGCACATCTGGGAAGCACCGTCGTGCTAAAAGGAGAGATTCCAAAGCATCAGCAGGAGGCAAAAACACGGTGCCAAAGGTGGCCATGTCCACGGAGAAACACGGTGTGTTACCTTCTGGTGAGCTGTGGACAGACAAGCTGGGTGGCACAAGAAACAGGCTTCCCTGCTTTTAACCATGACCTTTCTCCTCTTGATGCTACCATGTCTCTGCTGCGGAGGGGAGGGTAGAGGAGGCAGGAAGAGGGGGGAGAAGGACAGGACGTTGGCACTCAAGCTCTCTGCCCCTACCCTTTGCTCAAGCAGAGGCACCTGCGTTCCTCAGGGCAAGGTCACCAGGGCAGCTAACTGTCCAGAATACAGGTGGCACACACACGTACTGCCACATCTCTCAGACCACTCTTCTGCCACACACTCTCATCACTAAGGCCACCAGTCTCAGAGTCCCCTGGAGCGACCCAGGCCAAGTGTCATCTCTGTGTCAAACGGGTGGGATGCCAGGTAATCCTTATACTCCCCGTCGATCAGCTGGGCGGCGTTGTTCCTGGCAAACCAGCAGTCCACCTGCTCTTCCCCGTTGTAGATCTTTCTTTGTTTCCAGATCACGGGGACGTGGTGGCCTTTCACCTGCAGGATGGCTTCAGACCTCCCTTCCGGCTGGGGGAACGGAGGGTGAGTAAGATTCCTGCCAAGCCCCCTTGGCTCCTCTGTGAGGTTGGCATCCTGGTTCAGGAACTGACCTGGGAGGACAGAAAGCGTCAGCTCTTAGTCAAATATGGATGGACAGCACTGTGGGAAATCTCACTCCAGTGGCACCAGTGGCAGGAGGAGGGGCTTGTCATCGACCACAGTTCTGGGTCAGGCTTCCCTAGAAGGCGTCCACACATCGTCCAGTGTGAGGAAAGGACATGAGAGCTGGAGGGCGGGGAGGAAGAGCTGAGGGTTTGTTCGTGGTGGCTGCTGCCCCTTCTGGATGCTACCCAGCTGCTAACGCTGGAAAGCTGCCTCAGTCTCCGCCAGAGCCGTGAGGACAAGACAAGCAGATAAACAGGGGGTAGTGTCTGGTCTGCCCATTCTCCTCCCTGGTCACAGGCCCCCTCCATGCTGTCCACTTGGGGGGGTGTGCGGGGGGGTATGTGGACTGAAGTCAGCCCAGGTCACTCCTGACACTGCGTCCTCAGAACTCTCCAGGCCGGGTGAGGACACTGCTCAGGACAGAGGGACACAGATCTGTATCTGTGCAAGGGAGCTTGCACTTGGCAGCCAAGCACCACACACGCTGTCCAGCTCAAGGCCAGGAAATCCTGCCTTGTAAACCAAGCCCTAACCATGCTGCCTCTTTATTTTTAGGCAAAAGGCCCTGGTGAGATTGCACATTAAAGAAAGCCAGCCAGAGGGCCTGCCGCCCATGGCAATGATGGTGACTCTCACAGGGAAGTATATCTGCCACTCTGGGTGCTGGGGGATGGATCTGGGGCTGCCCTTCACCTGTGCCTTCTGGCTGAGGAACTGGACCCTAGTGTTATTACTCCCATTTCTTGGTTCATGTTCCCAGAAGGCAAGTGATAACTGGTTTATTAAGTTCGAAATCATTCTCATTCCAGAACGTCATCAGGAGACTAGAAACCTAATTTTCACATTATGCATGGTCATGTGCCACCTAATGACATCTGGGTCACCAACAAGCTGCACATACAATGGTGGCCCCTTGAGACTGTAACACCGTATTTTTATTGGACCTTCTCTATGTTTAGATGTGTTAGGTACATAAGCACTTACCACTGTGTGACAGCTGCCTGCAGTATTCAGTACAGTCCCAGGCTGTACAGGTGTGTAGCCAGGGCAATGGGCTGTACATACAGCTGGCTGTGCAGCGGGTAACACTGTCTGAGTGTGTGTAAGAACACCTTGTCATGCTCACACAACGAAGTCACCTAACAACACGTCTCGTGGAACGTGTCCCCACAGCTAAGTGATGCACGGCCGCATGCACATACACTTACATGCAACTACAGCATCACCTCTGTGAGGTGACCACTGAAGAGACGGTGACAGACTGGCCAACACACGGAGGGGTGAACATAAGGGACTAGGCCTGCCATGCTGACACGTACATGTGCTGCACGTCTGGTCTAGGAAATTAGGTCAATTTACAGAGGTGGTCAGTGGGGGACGTGTCAGTACAGGGAGTTGTCAGTGTGGGGATGTGATCAGTGTGGGGAGGTGGTCATTGTGGAGACGTGGTAAGTGTGGGGAGGTGGTCAGTGTTGGGATGGTGCCAGTGTAAGGAGGGGGTCATGGTGTGGAGGAGGTCACTGTAAGGGAGTTGGTCAGCATAGGGAGGTATTACCATGAGGAGGTGGTCAGTGCAGGGAGGCAGTCAGTGGGGGGAGGTGGTCAGTGCAGGGAGGTGGTCAGCAGAGGAAGGTGGTCAGTGTGGGGACTTGGTCAGTGTAGGGAGGTGGTCAGTGTGGAGACTTGGTCAGTGCAGGGAGGCAGTCAGTGTGGGGAGGTAGTCAGTGCAGGGAGGTAGTAAGTGTGGGAAGGTGGCCAGTGTGGGGAGGTGGTCAGTGCGGGGAGGTGGTCAATGTGGAGAGGTGGTCAGTGTCGGGAGATGGTGAGCTGTTCCACTGTGTATAAAAAAGCTATATCAAATTTTATATCACATTTCTCAATCTAGCTAAGGATACTGGTGATATCAGCTTCACTTTGGGAAATTTAATTCTATCCCCTACGCCCAGCGCAGGGGGAGAGCGGCCGCCTACCTAACAGCCCGTGGCAGTTGCCAGACAGGCCTTCGCCGCTGGAAATGTAGAAGCCCAGGTGGTCCCGCTGGAATGGCGCCGGCCTTTTGTAGAGGTGGATGAGGATGACGAAGGCAATGGAGCCCTGGATGGTGATGGTGACATTGGCATTGGCGGACACGGACACCTCCAGCCCCCGGCTCCCCACCACTACACTCTGGTTGCAGGGGAGGACCAGCCTGTCCCCGCCGTCCAAGATGACTCTGCTCGGTGTGACCTCAAGGTAGGACCGCTCGGGCTTGTTGACGAGGATGGTGATGGTGCGGAAGTATGTGCGCTGCTTCTTGTGACCGTTTGGGGGAGCGGGGGCCCCAATTAACTCTCCATTCACTGTCACACCTCACAGGCCGAGGGGAAAAGAATGAGGGTTAGAAAAAAGAAAACCATCCTCCCTTTGCTGCTAAAGTATGTGATCAGAACTCCCTTCCTCCTCCTGGTGTACCTCTGTCTCTCTAGCACCAAGTATGTTGATGACTTACATACAGAGGCACCCAGGGCTTACCCAGGGAGTGAATGAATCAGTGAATAAATGAGTGAATGAACAAATGAATGAGTGACTGAGTGAATGAGCGAATGAACAAATGAATGAGTGAATGAATGAGTGACCACATGCAGTTATGAGTGGATTTTTCCTCCCGAGTTTGACCAGTATTTGGGGATAGAGTAAGGAGGACATACGTTTGGGTTAACATATCCTGGAAGCAAACGCAATACTAAGTATTTGTACCAAAATGTAGCTAACCATAAAGTTTGTTTGCCTTCATTTCGGTGTCTGCGTGTAGTGACAGAAAGTCCCTCGTGGCCCTGATGTGTATTCTGTATCTACCGGTGGCCCCTGATGCTAATTTGGAGACCCTGTGATGCACTGAGCAGCGTGGTCCAATGCAAGGTCAGAATTGTTTTCAGTCCCCAAATTCGGGTTCTTCCACTTTGGTGTTCATCATCAAAACACTGGGAGCCTCAATTTCCTCACCTGTAAAATGGGGGGATATAAAGCCCAACAATGTTTGTGAGGACCCAGGAAGCTGCATATGTGTACCCTGTAAAGTGTCACCAAACACAGCTCCTTTCTTTGCTCCTTCATCCTTACGAACACGACTGTGGCTTTTTGGACTTCCGAGCAGTCCAGCAGAACAGCAAACAGACCACCAGAGCACAGGAGAGGTTTGGGGCTGAATCAGATGACTGCTCTCAGGTAAAGGGGCAATTTGTAA